CCCTTTCTGTTTCTTGGGCTAATACTTTCCTTGTGTCTTTGGTGTTCTTCATTCTCCTTTACTCCAGGTGGTTGGGACCAACTGATGCATCCTAGATGCTCGCTTGCAAACTTTTAAGACCCCAGACGCCACTCACCAAAGTAGGATGCAGAACATTTTCTTAGTAAGCTTTGTTATGCCAATTGACCTATATGTCCCCTGAAAGCACGGTCCCCAGACCCCTACCCCTGTTCCTCTGTCTCTTGAAGTGTTTGATTGTATTCAGGGAACGTCTTAGCTTTGGTTTAGTCCCATTGTGCTGACGTCCCCTGTAGTGTGTGCTGTCCTTCCCTTCACCTAATTCTTATCTACTATCTAGTTAGTAAATAACCCTCACCCTCCCTCCCCACCCTCATAACCATCAAAGAATGTTTTCTTCTGTGTTTAAACCTTTTCTTGAGTTCTTATAATAGTGGTCTTATACATATTTGTCCTTCTGTGACTAACTAAATTCACTCAGCATAATGACCTCCAGCTTCCTTCATGTTATGTTTCACAGCTTCATCGTTGTTCTTTATCGCTGCATAGCATTCCATTGTGTGGATATACCATAATTTGTTTATCCATTTGTCTGTTGATGGGCACCTAGGTTGTTTCCATCATTTTGCTATTGTGAACAGTGCTGCAATGAACATGGGTGTGCATATATCTATTCGTGTGACGGCTCTTATGTCTCTAGGATATATTCCAAGGAGCAGGACAGCTGGATCATATGGTACTTCTATTTTTAGCTTTTTAAGGAAGTGCTAAATCGATATCCAAAGTGGCTGTACCATTTCACATTCCCACCAACAGTGTGTAAGTGTCCCAGTCTCTCCACAACCTCTCCAGCATTTATTATTTTGTGTTTTTTGGATTAATGCTAGCCTGTTGGGGTGAGATGATAACTCACTGTAGTTTTGATCTGCACTTCTCTAATGGTCTTTTGATTTCTTGACTGCTGCTTCCACGGGTGTTGACTGTGGATCCAAGTAAAATGAAATAATGTTTGACAACTTCAATCTTTTTTCCGTTTATCATGATGTTGCTTATCAGTCCAGTTGTGAGGATTTTTGTTTTATGTTTAGGTGTAATCCATACTGAAGGCTGTGGTCTTTGATCTTCATCAGTAAGTGCTTCAAGTCCTCTTCACTT